CCTAAACAACCAAGGGGGGATTCTGCATGAGCCAAATAGCAGAGACAGGACCAATCGTCAAAATGTTGGTGTCGACCATTCGATTTCATCCTGGACACTACAGAAAATGGGCTAAAAGTGTTAAAAACCGGAATTTTCCTTTAAGCATTTAAGTCTTCGTCTTTGAAATAACATCGGACAAGCTGAATCCCCTTCAGTGCCTTTAAAGAGAGCTGGGTTCTCTCCTTGGCCCTCTGGTTCTGCATTGATGAGAAAACCATCCTCAGTATTTCCATAGAAAGAAAGAAGCCCAAAGGAGGAAAAAAACGGTGTAATCTACAGTAAGTCTGAGTAACGTCATGTTTTATGTCTTCCCAAAATATATGACAACTTCTCGTATAACCCTACCCTTTTTCCTGGCGAGAAAATAAATTTTAGCATCACCGCCTGAGGAGAATTACACTCATTGCAGCAGCTCTGGGATGATGCCACATGAACAAGGGTTGTGGTATTCCATGCAGGACACCAGTTAGTTTAGGTTTAGGTCCTGTGAAATTTTTTTTTTTGTATGAATCCCCTCAGATGCTTCAGACTCAAGTTGAAAATTGGATCCGTCATTAAAAATGAGAACCTTCAATTACGAAGAGGTAATAATTGCTTTCTTTGGTTTTGTAATCTCCAAAAGATAAAAACGGGCTTTCCTCTACTTCTAAAAAGGCAAAAACGTTCAGTGGGTCCTTTTCCCTTTTCCCTTTGACTGACAGATTGAATCGAGACGTAAGAAAACAACAGTGAATGTTGAATATTCCAAGAGATTCTTGCTATTTTATTTAAAGGTACATAGTTACTTTATATGGCATCTTTAAATGTATATGGCAGTAACTAAGACTGGTTGCATGTAATCTTGATATGATCAAATATGGCGTGGTATTTATTTTTGTTTTTAAGATTTGTTTTTGCTCAGCTTTAGTAAGTATAACCTTACTGTGAATATTTACCATATCAACATAATGTGACAGGATTGTGGTAAATTGCCTGTACTTATATTGTATTAATTGAACTAGTGCTTTTTCAAGTCAGAGGATTTGATCAAAGTGCTTTACAGTAAGTTCACTCACACACTGATGGTGGCAAACTGAAAGAAGAGCCAGGCTGCCGTACACTGACACCACCGGGGCCTCTGACCACCATCAGTAGGCAATGCAGGTGAAGTGTCTTGTCCGAGGATACAAAGACACTGAGAGCCAGGGTTTGAACCGACAACCCTCCCATTGCAGGGCAAACTCCTGCACCCGACGCCACTGTTGCCCCACAGGATTATGTCACTAGACATTCGTACAACCAGTGAACATGGAGACATGGATCATGATGGAGTGAGAAATTCCCAGCATAGTTGGAGGGGGGAGAGAAAATTCATGGCAAAATGTTTGATTCCAAGAGGGATAAAACTTGAGTTGCGCTGTAAATACAGTTTGACGTTGCTAAGGAATTTAATAGACATGTGAATACATGTGCTCTCTAATAGTGCCACTGCTGTAAGCAATGCTTTTACGCCCCAACCTGCAAGCTGATGGGTTTTTCGCAAAACCTTACGGTTAGCACGGTTGGGGTTTAGGAGCTGCATCAATGGCCACCATCTGGTTTTCTTGTAGTTCAGCAGTAGTGAAGGTAGGTGGCACCACATCTGATTATGTGATCTCATTGTGCCCGCTGTTGAGATCCTATTTAGGCTGAAATGATTAAAACACTATCAAGATGGACTCTTGGAGTATATAGTCCATAATCAACTGTATTTTGACCTTTTTGGTATAGGAATATTACTTTATGTA